ACAACGTCCTTGTTTGTCAGAAGGAGGGTGGGGAGCAGGGTGGGGAATTAAGTGCAGACAAGCAGAGAAGAAAAGGTAAGATTCATGTGATGAAGTCTATCGTGTTTGGATTTCTGTGGGCTATTGTTCAGTTGAAATGGAGTCTTAAAATTCATTTGACATCTTGATTTTTTTTCCTTTCAGCAGTAGGCGGTTAGGATGATCAACAGCCCCTGGTGTGGACGAGTCTTGCCTCCCATTCAACTGCAGCCATCGTTGGAAGATGCGGTAAGATTTGAGATCTTCCCCCTGCACACTTTGCCCATCTTTTACTTGTCAATTGATGTTTACCTGCTTTGGCCTTGACCTCTTGACTTCCACTGACAGGATGCAGAAGAGAAGGAGCCATCCCAAGGAGCAGAAGAGGACCCAGTTCATCAGCCAGAGAGCCTGATAGAGAAGCTTTTTGATTTATCCCTCTGTCCCCTCCTTACTCTAATATGACTAACCATCTCCATTCCCGACCTCTACTCTCTCCTCTCTTATGCCCTTTCCCCAAGTAACGGTCCCTTTTTGCTAACTTCTTTTCCAAGTCAATTTGTGATTTTTTACTTATATTTTTGTGAATTTCTTTGAATTTTTGCAATTGTTTTGTAAATTTCTATTTAATTTTCATAATTGTTTTGATTTTGTACTAATTTTTTGTCAGTTGTATATTTTCAGGGGTTCAGATGAGGGAGGACGACAGAAGAGGACTTTGGCCGGCCAAAAGAAGAAGAGGACTCCATTGCCCAGCTATGAACAGAAACCAACATTGGCCAGAGTGGTAAGAACATACTGCATTTGTTGCAATTTTTTAATTCCCTGTTGTTTATATTCTAACTTGATCAAAGCATATAGGGTATTTCTTTAACATCCTGACTCTCTGTGTTAATAGGAGGATGCCTGGATGCCAATGTTAGGAACAACTTCCTTGTTTGTCAGAAGGAGGGTGGGGAGCAGGGTGGGGAATTAAGTGCAGACAAGCAGAGAAGAAAAGGTAAGATTCATGTGATGAAGTCTATCGTGTTTGGATTTCTTGGGCTATTGTTCAGTTGAAATGGAGTCTTAAAATTCATTTGACATCTTGATTTTTTTTCCTTTCAGCAGTAGGCGGTTAGGATGATCAACAGCCCCTGGTGTGGACGAGTCTTGCCTCCCATTCAACTGCAGCCATCGTTGGAAGATGCGGTAAGATTTGAGATCTTCCCCCTGCACATTTTGCCCATCTTTTACTTGTCAATTGATGTTTACCTGCTTTGGCCTTGACCTCTTGACTTCCACTGACAGGATGCAGAAGAGAAGGAGCCATCCCAAGGAGCAGAAGAGGACCCAGTTCATCAGCCAGAGAGCCTGATAGAGAAGCTTTTTGATTTATCCCTCTGTCCCCTCCTTACTCTAATATGACTAACCATCTCCATTCCCGACCTCTACTCTCTCCTCTCTTATGCCCTTTCCCCAAGTAACGGTCCCGTTTTGCTAATTTCTTTTTCAAGTCAATTTGTGATTTTTTACTTATATTTTTGTGAATTTCTTTGAATTTTTGCAATTGTTTTGTAAATTTCTATTTAATTTTCATAATTGTTTTGATTTTGTACTAATTTTTTGTCAGTTGTATATTTTCAGGGGTTCAGATGAGGGAGGACGATAGAAGAGGACTTTGGCCGGCCAAAAGAAGAAGAGGACTCCATTGCCCAGCTATGAACAGAAACCAACATTGGCCAGAGTGGTAAGAACATACTGCATTTGTTGCAATTTTTTAATTCCCTGTTGTTTATATTCTAACTTGATCAAAGCATATAGGGTATTTCTTTAACATCCTGACTCTCTGTGTTAATAGGAGGATGCCTGGATGCCAATGTTAGGAACAACTTCCTTGTTTGTCAGAAGGAGGGTGGGGAGCAGGGTGGGGAATTAAGTGCAGACAAGCAGAGAAGAAAAGGTAAGATTCATGTGATGAAGTCTATCGTGTTTGGATTTCTTGGGCTATTGTTCAGTTGAAATGGAGTCTTAAAATTCATTTGACATCTTGATTTTTTTTTCCTTTCAGCAGTAGGCGGTTAGGATGATCAACAGCCCCTGGTGTGGACGAGTCTTGCCTCCCATTCAACTGCAGCCATCGTTGGAAGATGCGGTAAGATTTGAGATCTTCCCCCTGCACATTTTGCCCATCTTTTACTTGTCAATTGATGTTTACCTGCTTTGGCCTTGACCTCTTGACTTCCACTGACAGGATGCAGAAGAGAAGGAGCCATCCCAAGGAGCAGAAGAGGGCCCAGTTCATCAGCCACAGAACCTGATAGAGAAGCTTTTTGATTTATCCCTCTGTCCCCTCCTTACTCTAATATGACTAACCATCTCCATTCCCGACCTCTACTCTCTCCTCTCTTATGCCCTTTCCCCAAGTAACGGTCCCTTTTTGCTAACTTCTTTTTCAAGTCAATTTGTGATTTTTTACTTATATTTTTGTGAATTTCTTTGAATTTTTGCAATTGTTTTGTAAATTTCTATTTAATTTTCATAATTGTTTTGATTTTGTACTAATTTTTTGTCAGTTGTATATTTTCAGGGGTTCAGATGAGGGAGGACGACAGAAGAGGACTTTGGCCGGCCAAAAGAAGAAGAGGACTCCATTGCCCAGCTATGAACAGAAACCAACATTGGCCAGAGTGGTAAGAACATACTGCATTTGTTGCAATTTTTTAATTCCCTGTTGTTTATATTCTAACTTGATCAAAGCATATAGGGTATTTCTTTAACATCCTGACTCTCTGTGTTAATAGGAGGATGCCTGGATGCCAATGTTAGGAACAACTTCCTTGTTTGTCAGAAGGAGGGTGGGGAGCAGGGTGGGGAATTAAGTGCAGACAAGCAGAGAAGAAAAGGTAAGATTCATGTGATGAAGTCTATCGTGTTTGGATTTCTTGGGCTATTGTTCAGTTGAAATGGAGTCTTAAAATTCATTTGACATCTTGATTTTTTTTTCCTTTCAGCAGTAGGCGGTTAGGATGATCAACAGCCCCTGGTGTGGACGAGTCTTGCCTCCCATTCAACTGCAGCCATCGTTGGAAGATGCGGTAAGATTTGAGATCTTCCCCCTGCACATTTTGCCCATCTTTTACTTGTCAATTGATGTTTACCTGCTTTGGCCTTGACCTCTTGACTTCCACTGACAGGATGCAGAAGAGAAGGAGCCATCCCAAGGAGCAGAAGAGGACCCAGTTCATCAGCCAGAGAGCCTGATAGAGAAGCTTTTTGATTTATCCCTCTGTCCCCTCCTTACTCTAATATGACTAACCATCTCCATTCCCGACCTCTACTCTCTCCTCTCTTATGCCCTTTCCCCAAGTAACGGTCCCGTTTTGCTAATTTCTTTTTCAAGTCAATTTGTGATTTTTTACTTATATTTTTGTGAATTTCTTTGAATTTTTGCAATTGTTTTGTAAATTTCTATTTAATTTTCATAATTGTTTTGATTTTGTACTAATTTTTTGTCAGTTGTATATTTTCAGGGGTTCAGATGAGGGAGGACGACAGAAGAGGACTTTGGCCGGCCAAAAGAAGAAGAGGACTCCATTGCCCAGCTATGAACAGAAACCAACATTGGCCAGAGTGGTAAGAACATACTGCATTTGTTGCAATTTTTTAATTCCCTGTTGTTTATATTCTAACTTGATCAAAGCATATAGGGTATTTCTTTAACATCCTGACTCTCTGTGTTAATAGGAGGATGCCTGGATGCCAATGTTAGGAACAACTTCCTTGTTTGTCAGAAGGAGGGTGAGGAGCAGGGTGGGGAATTAAGTGCAGACAAGCAGAGAAGAAAAGGTAAGATTCATGTGATGAAGTCTATCGTGTTTGGATTTCTTGGGCTATTGTTCAGTTGAAATGGAGTCTTAAAATTCATTTGACATCTTGATTTTTTTCCTTTCAGCAGTAGGCAGTTAGGATGATCAACAGCCCCTGGTGTGGACGAGTCTTGCCTCCCATTCAACTGCAGCCATCGTTGGAAGATGCGGTAAGATTTGAGATCTCCCCCCTGCACATTTGCCCATCTTTAACTTGTCAATTGATATTTACCTGCTTTGGCCTTGACCTCTTGACTTCCACTGACAGGATGCAGAAGAGAAGGAGCCATCCCAAGGAGCAGAAGAGGACCCAGTTCATCAGCCAGAGAGCCTGATAGAGAAGCTTTTTGATTTATCCCTCTGTCCCCTCCTTACTCTAATATGACTAATCATCTCCATTCCCGACCTCTACTCTCTCCTCTCTTATGCCCTTTCCCCAAGTAACGGTCCCTTTTTGCTAATTTCTTTTTCAAGTCAATTTGTGATTTTTTACTTATATTTTTGTGAATTTCTTTGAATTTTTGCAATTGTTTTGTAAATTTCTATTTAATTTTCATAATTGTTTTGATTTTGTACTAATTTTTTGTCAGTTGTATATTTTCAGGGGTTCAGATGAGGGAGGACGACAGAAGAGGAGATGCGGTAAGATTTGAGATCTTCCCCCTGCACACTTTGTCCATTTTTTACTTGTCAATTGATGTTTACCTGCTTTGGCCTTGACCTCTTGACTTCCACTGACAGGATGCAGAAGAGAAGGACCCATCCCAAGGAACAGAATAGAAGGACCTATTCCAAGGAGTAGAATGGAAAGAACCCATCCTGAGGAGGAGAAGTGAAAGAGCAATTCGAAGGTGCTGAAGAGGACCCAATTCATCAGCTGCAGGAGGGTTAGAGCAGGGAATTTAATGTGAGATATTATAGAAGAATGGGTGAAATTCATATTAGAATAGTTGTTTTGTCATCGGAAATTAAGGGAGGTGCTGCTTTTGAGACAAAAGTGTAAGTCTTATTAAGCTATTCAGGAAGTTATTAATTATAGTATTTCTTTGACCCTTGGTTTGCAGTACATTGAATCGTTTGACCCTTGGTTTAATTTCTTTGTTAGCTGAAGAGACATTAGGATGACCCCGATGCCTTATTGAGAAGAAGTATGTCTTTAACTCAACTACAGCAATCATTGGAAAATGCATAAGATTCAGGCTGCGATATTGGTCATAGAGGTACTAAGGCCAGTCAACAGAAGATGGGGAGTCCATTGTCTTACTATGACCAGCAGAAAATGTTGGCCAATGTAGTAAGTAACAAGTTGCTTTTGTTGCTCTTTTGGATCCCTTGTTTTAATTGTAACTTGATCAAAGCAGCTAGTATTACTCCTTTGACCATCTTACTTTTTGTGTTAGCAGGAGAATGGTTAGGCAATCTTCAATCCTAGTGTGAGATACGACTCCATTATTTGTCAGCAGGAGTCTAAAGATTAGGGATCGATTGTTGCAAACCATGTAAAACGGGTAAGATTCATGTCATAATGCCTGTACTCACTAGATTTTTGGGCGGTTCATCCTTACTTTATTGATATTACAACTTCTTTTGATTTTTTGTTTCTCTACTTTTATTGAGCAGTTTAAGATGAACCTCTATCCAGAATTCTAAAGAGAAGACTCACCGGAAAGCAAGAGTGCTGAGAGTTTTGGTATAGACTGCTGCAAACCCTAGGAATGATGGTAAGATGCAATGTGCCAATCCAGTATTTTAATGATTTTTATTATTTTTCCCCACTTAACAAGTGTAAGTAATTCTTTTTTTTTTTATTTATAGGTCAGGGTTAGATCTATTGTAGTGCTAGTGTAGATCCTGAGACAAGCGGGTGACTTTCATCTGACAGAAAGAGTGCAAAGTGTTTGAGGGATCAAGCGCAGCCAATCCAAGAGTTGATGGTAAAGTATTTTATATGTAGATGTGCTTTTTGCTCTCTGAAGAATTATAGTTGTCCAAGTGTCAAGAAAATCCTTTTGCCTTAGACCTATATATGCTCTTCGTTCATACATACAGGGTTGGGCTGGTTTTCATTCTCAAAAGAAGGGCGGACAGTTACCTACCAGCAAAAGTTCAGGGATTGACTGTGGCAAATCCAAGACATGATGGTAAGACACAATGGCACATCTTGCACTGTTTGACTTTTTTAGCTCACCTGAGCCAACTTTTTCTGATCAAAATTTTTCTGTTGTTGTCAGTATTGTCATCGTCCTTTTCTTTGTAACCTTTTTACAAATTCGTCTTTTCTCCAGAACTTTCCTGGAAATATCTCCCCAAAACATTAGATTTCAAATTGTCAAATTACAGTATTATTACTACAAAAATGCCCTCAAGTGGTTTAAATTAAAATATGTGCAAATCATTGCCCTTTAAATCTAAATGAAGCTGTCTCCAGTTTAGTGGGAAAAAAGTAGTTTGGAAAAAAAAGAACTCACTTTGGCTCAGAAAAATTACTGTGATATTTAGGTGATTGTAAAAGCCTTTGTGCCCCTTGTTTCATAAAAAAATTGACATTGTTTCTGAAATGCATTGCTTGATGTTATATTGTTGAAACTCAGTAGCTTGTTTGTTTTTATTTTCATAGGTACTGAAGTCTATAGGATATCACTTTTTGACTTTTCATTTGTTAAACTGACAATTTTTTTTATTCGATAGAACGCTCCCCATGAATCATCTGAGCTGTCATGATATTTGTGGGGGAAAGAAAGTTGTGCAACACATCAGAATAAATTCATGGTATGGATCATTAGAAACAAAAGGGGAGACATTTATTGTTGAAGGAGATATAGAACTCTATTCTGAACTAGTGTGAAGGAATTGTGACCTTGTATGAAGGAACTGTGACCTTGTGTGCAGAGTCTGTGACCTTGAATGAAGGATCTGTGACCTTATGTGAAGGATCTGTGACGTTTTGTGAAGAATCTGTGACCTTTTGTGAAGGATCTGTGACCTTATGTGAAGGATCTGTGACCTTGTGAAAAGGATCTTGTATTTTCCAACCTTTGGTCCTTCCTTTCTTTTGATGATGTTTTGAACAAGAAGAACTTACTATCATCACCCCAAGCAGTTAATGTCTTTGTTACACCAGTTGAAATATTGACTGGTTTATAGTTCCAGCAAATGAATGCATGCCTAGCATTCACCCTTAGACTTGCAGTTATCAGGATACATGTGTGACTTTTTAACCATTTTTCCCTGGGAAGTTTTTAATGTCAGTGATTGCACACTAGCCTTTGATGTTTAATACTGTTTGGAAAATTTAGGAATTGGTGCAGTATAACAATATTTGTGTTACGTTGTATTAGCAAAAATTAATTACCCTAACAACATGTAAACAATGTTACGGAAATGTCTTGTTACTAAGTTTTAGTTATTTGAGCAAAATCCAAAAAATTTTCAGAATATATTGCATGGGCAAACATTGGATTATTGCAAGGGTATTATTAAATGGTCACTTTAGTGCACACTGTTCTGAGGAAGTCAAGTTTTTTATCAATATAAATTTATGTCTATATTTCAAAGTCCGGGAAAACATTATTTCCTAGTTAAATAGAGTGAGGTTCCGCCACTCAAATTTTTGCTTATTCTGCATTTTGCCGCGGTTCACAGGTTTCCATCATTTTTTTCAAATTTTGAAAGACTTTTTTTAATATATGGTTTTTCCTGGGCGGCAGAGGAGGCTTATTTTATTTTTGTATGAATTTTAATATGCATTTTGTTATAAATATGCAGTGTTGTATGAAAACTGCTTTGTTTGCATGTTAATTTATTTGGAAAATAGATCTGGCCTTAATCTGCATGGTGCTCTGTAATGTAATTTAAGGGATTTTAATAATCGTATATGTAGGCATAAAGTGTAGTGAAGCGACTGGTCTTCATTCATTATATGAGTGTTTGTATCTATTTGTTTTAACATTTCAATTCATATACAATGTATAATGTACTACTTACAATAAATGACATTTGCTTCCTAAAAATCTTTTAGTTACTTGTATAACAGTAGCCATTTTCAAATATTCTTTTCAAAGTACCTGTATATGTAAATTCAATTTTCATGTAAATCTTCACAAATTGTGACAACAAATAAACAATATTGAATAACATGCAAATCTGAGTACTTTTTTCATAGCAGCCATCTTGGAGAAGTTTTGTAGTGAAATGCTATTGGAAATAAATATAAAACATAACTGCTATAATTCTTCACGGTGTGGTAACAAACAAACAGTAACATATATCCAAGGTTTTTTCTCTGTATTTCTGAGATAGGAAGGAGCCTCAATACGGGATCTAAATTTTACATTGAATATATAAGAAAAGATCTTTGAAATTCTTCTCGAGAACATCAGGGCCATGATATGTCATATGAATATACAATCATCCTTAGGTAGTGCAGAATCAAATTTGTTCAAATTATGGCACTCGGGCGTTGGCTTGGTCCGTAGTAGGCAATCAAAGTTTAACATTGGAATATTTGAAAAATCATGGCAATGATAAGTCATATAAACATGCAAGAAGCGTCGGGCAGTGTAGATTCAAATCTGTTCAAATCTTGGTTCCAGGGGGGAGGGGTGAGGGCGTTCCACAAAAGAAAAATTAAAAAATCTTCTCAAGAACAGATTGATCATGCAAGCATACCCAGGTAGTGCAGATTCACATTTGGTCAAATCCTTAAGCCCCGGGGTGGGGTGGGACCAGATTGGGGGATACACAAATTTTACTTTATAATATATATGGAAAGATATTTAAAATTCTCCTTCTCAAGGACAGTAGGATCATGATTTGTGATTTTTTTAAAATACGTTCAAGGATTTTCAGGTGGATCAAATTTAAGTTTATTCAAATCACAGCCCCAGGGGTAGGGGCGAGCCATAAAACTTCATTAGATTTAGAGAGTATTATTATAGATTTGTAACACGTTCTTTATGTTTGTTTATTAATTTTTCAAAATGTTGTTATTTAGACCCAGCAGAAAAAAAAAACAGCAAAATGATAAAGATCATTCTCTTCAATGTCTTCTAAGTATGTAATTAGCATATTTTAAAACAATTATTCGTAACCTTTTGTTCAAAAGGGTTTGAGATAAGGATATTCTTATTGCATGTATTTGGGTCAAATTAGGTTGAGATAAGAAAGGACAATGACCATTTTACAAATACTCATAATTATCGGCCTATCAGGTAAATTACGATTTATATATAAATACTTTTATATTTAAGTTTTACATGCGACAAAAGTAATTTATACAGCCTTTTCTGCATCAAGTCAAACTAAAATTTCAGAGACACTTTTTTGTCATTGTTCAAACAGTCTTTCATTGCACTACTTTTATTGCTCTTCCAGAAACATCACTATTTATTCTTATCATTTATTTGTTGAAAGGTTTGTTGCAATCGTGTTGTCCTGATGGGTGGAGAAAGGGCAAGAACTCCTGTTATTTTATTAGTCCTAGAACTGTTAGTTGGGCTGAGGCATCGGTAATTTTTTTTTCATATCCTCAAATGATACTTTGGCTTTAACATACAGCTCATGTTTTATCTTAAGTGGTCGCCTGTTTCCTCTGAGAAATTTAGGCGCTGGTTTAATTATAATGCAAATAAATATATACAAGCAAATAATTTGCTATTCAATACCACCAAGTATTTTTGCTATAAGAAATCTTAATTGATAATATTTAGGTAATATTTCTCTTCTTGCATGAAATCAACTCATTTACAATTACACAAACTTGAAAACTGACCAAATTGTAAACATAATTTTGTACATTTTCAGAGCATTTGTCAATCTTTCCATAGTGAGCTAGCCGTTATCAACGATGCAGAAGAAAACGTACTTATTGGCAAAATAATCACAAACATAAGAGGTAATTCTTAATAAGCAGACGTGTCTCTAATAATAACTCTAATCATGAATTCCTTTGTACTGTCTAATTATACAGGTAATTATTTTGCATTTTACATTGTAATTAGTTCGAGGTTTTTCATATTGGAAAAAAAAATGTGTGAGAGCATTAAAAGGTTTTGGCATATTCAGTGCATGTTATGCACGGTACCTGAAAGAACTGTTCAATTTAAAATTCATGTTTTTTAAAGTCCGTATTACTTTCGTGAAATTTAAAATATTTCCCTTTTATAGAGTAACATTTCAAAATGGTAGAATTCGGACAAAACAGTATTTCTTGTGATTTAAAAAAACTTACGTCAGAAAAATCACTCAGGATACTTGACTATATTGTAATTATAAAGGCGCCTTAGCGACAAATCTTTGGATAGATGGATCCGATAGAATGATAGAAGGCGAGTGGTATTGGGCGTCGACGATGGAAAGATTTGGATACAAAAACTGGGCAATCAACGAACCAAACGATCAGAAAGAACTGGAGGACTGCCTGGAGATGTACGTGATCGGGTTCTATTGGAACGATAATAAGTGCGACATCTTAAATCACTTTATCTGCGAGAAAGAGTACGTTTCTTTTAACTTTTCAGGATAAAACTAAATAAAATGTTAAGCCATGAAAAAGATAATATTTTTTCACATTTATTTTACTCTTGAAAGGAACACTTCCGTATAATGTATATATTTAGAAGAATTTGCCTAGAAACTTTGTAAGAATTAATTATTTTAATTAATTGTAATTGTAATTTCGTAATGTAATACAAAAATTAAAAAGAAAAGAAATTGTATCAAAGCTCCGCTCAGAAACTTTGCTTATACGTTCTATTTCCACTATGGAAGAGTTTTACTTCTTAGTGCGCTCTTTTGTGAAAAAGTCGGAAAACGTACAAATCTCGCGGGATTTCTGGGACAAACGTAACACAAACATGTAAACAATATGTTGAATGTGACAATGTCGATGAAACAATTCCTAAGAAAATGCAAATGAAATATTTTATTGTTGTGGACCTTATATACATCAAGAGTAGGAATGACAACGATATCAATTTATATCTATTGTTTATCGTATGTATCTATTTATCGTATGGTCAGGGACCTACATACATGTAGGTCCCTGGTATGGTGCACCTAAATACAATACACATGCCTCGGATCGGAAATGTCGTATTTTTTATTAATGGATGATAAATTTAGGGTTCTTGCTCTCTTACATATGTCTTTTAGTTCTTCTATTCTTTGATTGGAATGACAAATACATTTAACATTTAAAATTGGATTGAGATTGGCATGTTTTGTATTATCCGCAACGCCATGCTGTCCCTGTCAGACGACCAAACGCGCCTCTAATTTTGAAGAGTTCATTAATGGATATAGAACGTATTAACAGCTGACTTGCAGTTATTACAATTGCCGTCTGCTGGTATTTACGGTATGTCGACTAGTATGTAACGAGTGTGAATTCTAATTCTTCTCACCTCCGTCTACAACGTCAATGATTAGGTATATCATACGATGCAAATGTGAAAATAAAAAAATCAGCTCTTTCTGGGGTGACAGTTTGCAGGGATGGAGCAAACATATTTGGATTACTTTTATACTTTTAGGTAGAGCGTTGTAAAGCAACGGTAAAAGTATTACAAATTAATTTTCGAAATGCTTTCAATGCTTTCAAACACAAAAGTACGTAGAAACCGAGGCGAACAAAATAGTACATAATCATTTTTTTTCATTTCATTTCAGAATAGAAACATCTGACCTTGTGGGACAAATTATTGGTTAAAATCTGACTTCTGTGAAACACCATTATTAATAAACATAGCCAAAAATATGGATAATAAGTATCTTTTTTATAAATAGTGTGAATTTATCTATTTCTTCCTTCATTTTTATTTGCAAAATCGTTGAGTAAAAATTTGAGTTAAAGTTAAATGTCTATTTGCATGCTTCGCTGATTGTTCAATGATTTATAGACGCCACTATTAGAATGTGGTCTCGTCACACCCTGGCAATGAATGAAATGTTATATATTGAATCGAACATTTTATTTTTCCTTTCCTACCTGTAAGGTTACTTGTTTGTTGACGTATAGAGCTACATAAAAGCATTTTTCTCATTTTTTGGACAAAAATATATAAACTTGCGAAATAGATATATAAGCACATTAATTGTTAATTGATTCAATTTTTTATACAGTAACAGTTAGGAGTATAGGAGGGAGTAACAATAAAAATCCCGAATCACTAAACATCATCTAAGATAATTATGTAGATCTCAAAATGGGGACAATTGATTGTGATATACAAATACCCTTATTTAAGAATATAAAACGCAACAAATTTTATCTTCCAAAATTCAGAAATCTTTGCTGAATTAATTGGGTGCCTCTCTCACTAAAGAAGTGATATCTGATTTATGTTTGGCCAAGCCACATAATTTGGTTAAAAGTGGGAAAATGTAACTTTAAAATATGAAGTTGTATTCAGGTAATTCTATCCTCCAGTGATGTCATAGATTTTTGCAAAAGCTGTTATTAATAAAATTAAATTCATACCCTATCAAAAATTGTTTTGGAAGAATGTTTTTCAATAGGTGTAGTGAAAATTATTTTCAAGTAAAAGAAAACTCCTTCTAATGAATCTTCTTTCTGGCATTTTCTTAATTGTACTTCTAATGTAAAATTATTTCCCCAATATTCACAATCCATGCATATTTGTAAAGTAGCAATTATTTTGGAACTTTCAGCATCAGAATTAAATATTTGAACCAGTTTTTACATAATTTTTATAGTACTGTTTACTAAAGATGTACGATTTTTTTTATTGACATATACTTCTGTTTATTTATGTCGTCCGTCTTAAAAAATATGGCAACCTATACATTTTTTGCAATTATTAGTTAATTTATTTTATATCAAGTGAAAATAAATACAGTTTTTCTACTTTGAACCATTAAAATTGTGAGGGTGGAATTACCTTAAGGCAAAGATTCCGAGAGCCTTTTCGAATCTATTTTTACATTTTACTCCAAAAAAAAAAAAAAAAATAGCGAAGTAACTCTTTTATGTGGAAGATAAGAAAATTTGTTGGTGGTAAGTATCAAGATATATACTGTACTTGTGCACTCCAATCTTCTGAGCTTTCAATTTGATGCTAGTATATACATGTAGTAACTGCCTTGACATAGAACCGCTATTAAGAATTGAACACAAAATGATAAAAGGAACTGACATTTTATTGTGATACTAATAACTATAACCAACTCGGCTGGTTTTCATGGAAGGTAGCAAGAAAATAGATGTTCCTTCAATTCTCCTATAGGGTAAAACGAGAAATCGTTTGTAGACAAACTGGCTGCCTTTAGGAAATCCAACACAATCGAGCGCAACCAGGTCGCGCAAATCACGTGTTCATCACACCCCACGTGATTCTGGCGCAATATCATTTTTTTTTTCATATCAGATTTAAAATGAATTACTATATCAAAGAAGGAAAACATTTCACAACAATCTATCACCAATTGTTCTTTTAACAACTTTCAAAGGATAAAAATAATAATTACAATAAGCATCAACAAATTTCATTCTCTTTCTCTAGTTACATTACACCCAAGTTAATAAAAGTATAACTAATAGAAGAAAAATTCAGATTTGAAAGTATCCGATATTACGTACTGACTAATAGTTTATAAATTACTGGTTTTCATAAAAGAAAAGAAAGATTCATATTCCTCATTTGGTCAATGAAAATCAGACATATCAAAAATGAAATCATAGAAAATTAATCATGAAAACAAAATAAACAAAAGGATCTCTTGTGTTTGATGTTGTAATTAAAATGATATTTTTTTCTTTACAAAACTGAAAATGAAATGATGGGGAGTATAATCGAGAAAATTATGTCATTTTTTTCAAATATGAAAACTAAAAAAATTTAGAAAAAAAACACCACTCACTTGCATTCCACATTTTCTTGAAATAAGGAGTACCACAAAAAATATAAGTACATGAGCACTCAGACAAACTTGTAGGTGCAAGTGTACTTTTGTGTACTTTAACTTGGTATGAACAATTGACATATGTCCATAGGAAACAGGTAAAAACTTCAATAATTTATAATATACCCAGTTAAATAATATGATGTCAAAGCAATTTTTTTTCAAGATCTGTAGCCAACAGTAATTGCTTAAATTGATTCCGATCAAGAATTCGACCTATATGTAGCACCTTGTTGACATATTGCAATCACTCTTCACATAAAAAATAAATAACAATAAATAATTACATATAAATATTCTTAATGAATAGACAAAACAACTGTACAGAGCAAAACAAAACGTAGGGGAAAACACCATCTTAACTAATGAATTCAATTACCCTGCAAAAGCAGTTTGATAATTAATGACTAATTAACCCTGTTGTTAATCTGATAGGTGTCAAAAAATAATAAAGTATACACCCTCAAAAAGCACACTCAACAGCAAAGTGTTCAGCAAAATTGATAACAAAACCATATTAGGCAGTCATTCATACAACAGTATTTGTAAGTTTCTGGAATGAACAAAGGGGATGATCACATACTCACAATTAACACTGTACCAAATGATTCAATGGAAATTTAACCATGATAAATTAATGGGAAAATGATAGCATTCCAGATAACAGTCCTGAATAAAAATTTGGGAGAATATGAAAGATCTGTACAATTTTATAGACAAAACAAATTAATAAATATCAGTTAAAAAGCATCTCGTAACGTTAGATAAAGTATGTAGATTATACAACACTGTTGCTAAAATTATGTTTAGAATGAAATAAAATCAGACTTGGTCATGCTTAGTCGTATACCGATACGTTTTATAAATAGAAAACGTCAGTCTTTGGCTGTTAAAAAATGGAGATCTTTAAAATCAGATACAATGAAAATCCTTCATAATGAGAACCACTCAGATTCTCCAAAATATCACGAATGATCAACTCACACAGTGTTCCAAGAACTGCAAACCAAAAAACTGTCATCCCGGACACGCCAATTCTATTTCTCGATTCAAAATTAATTTCAGCAAATGGCGTGAAACTTGTCACATAACTATTGACCAACAAAAGGGAAAGATTTGAACAGTTGACATAAAAAGGACACAACTTTGGGATAAAAACCAGTCTTAACATTTTGTCATAACAACATGGTCTTGTCAAATATACGGAAAAGCAGGTGAACACAATCTTTAGAACGTACGACCACTGCATCACATGTTGCATTGCTGAATATGGCCGTCTGATCTCTGTTGAAAAATTACTTTATCAAGATTTCATATCTTGCACATCGAACCCGATCCGCACGTCGTTGTGCTTAGCACTTTCAAAGTATCGAAATCCTTATTGTGATTTCAGTGCCATCAAGACAGGAGGTTAAAAAACATTCCAGCAAGACTTAGATTAAGTGCTATAACAAGAACCAGAAGCTGGCGTTGTTGGACAAAATCCTACATAGAGAAAAAGGAAAAAAAATATGTTTGAGACTCAGCTCAAAAAAATCAAAATTCAAAGTGCATTCGGAAGTTTTGAGGATAAAATAAGAACAAATTAAATTGAAAATTTAA